CTGGCCTTGTCTCTGGCCCTGGCCTTGTCTCTGGCTCTGGCCTTGTCCTTATCTCTGACCCCGTTCCTGTCTCTGGCCCTGTCTGTCTCTGACTCTGGGCCTGGCCTTGTCTCTGGCCCTGGCCTTGTCTCTGGCCCTGGCCTTGTCTCTGGCCCTGGCCTTGTCCTTATCTCTGACCCCGTTCCTGTCTCTGGCCCTGTCTGTCTCTGACTCCGGGCCTGGCCCTGTCTCTATCTCTGGCCTTGTCACTGGCTCTGTCTATGGCCCTGGCCCTGTCACTGGCCTTGTCTCTAGCTCTGGCCCTGTTCCTGTCTCTGGGAGGGGGTGCGTTGGAGGGCTCAAACCTCTCCCTACCCCGGGGCACCTGTTCCCTGACAGAGGGGTGGAGTCTCTGGCTGGGGTCCTTATGCCCTCTCCTCTCATTTGTGCCTCGGGCTTGGTGTGTGTATATCAGTGGGGTTCAGGGACTCTGCAGCTTTGACCGGGGTGAAGTAAGCCACCCCATTCTTGGGGGGGGGCAGACCTGCTGTCCTTCCTCCTCCGAGTGTCAGCACTGGCTGAGGGTGGGTAGGGGAAGATGGGCCCTGTCGGGCCCTGGCAGGGTTTTTTGCCCTCTCAGACTCCTGACTGGGCTGGGCGAGCAGGGCTCTGTCCCAGAAAGGCCAGGCTAGGCTGCTGACGCTGACATGGCTGCCCTGACCAGAAGGCCCTGGGAGCTGGAGAGGGAGCCAGAGTTGAAGGTGGGGGTATACCGGTGTGAAGGCAACTACACACTCCTATATAGGCCAACCCCTGCCCCCACCTCTCTGATACCAGAGGAGTAGTTTCCCCTTGCCCAAGCCGAAGAGACAAGGCCCAACTCCCTCCATTTCTCAAGGTCCTGCCTCACCATCCAGGGTGGTCAATATGGGGGGAATATGGAGTGGGGGGCTAGGACTTTTTGTCATGGCTGAAACCAGGACTGCTCCTCTCCTTCTCCAGGATCCTTCCTGGGGGGAGAGGTCAGACCCTGACTCCAGGGTTTGCTCGATGTCAGCATTAGTGGCTGCCCACCATAGTGGGCGTAGGCCATTCTCTGGACCCCAGAGTCTGCTGAGTACTAGTTACTTATCATTACCCTCATTGCCACCAGAGGGAAGGAAAGGAAAATTATCAGCCTGCTTTCTTAGGAAGGGCTAGTTAGCCAGGATGGAGCTTTTCCCTAGAAGGGAAAAGTGTTGGGGCTCATTTTACTGGGGCTGCTTCTTTCCTGGCCAGGCCTGAGTGGGGCCTTCAGCTGAATGTCCTCGGCTCTGGTCCTGGCCCGTTTTCTGTCCAGTGCCCCACTGGGCTTGGCTGGTTGGTCTCCTTCCTATTGATTAGGCCTGGTAGGGCCACTGACTCTGCCCTTGTTTACCAGCCACTTTCTGAGAGTTTGACATTGAAAATCATTTCCTGGTTCACATGGTTGGTTGCCTGCTGCCTCTGGCCCTGAGTCATTGGGCTGTTGGGCCACGGAGGCAACTGTTTGGGGAGCTGAGCCCCTGGGGTTCAATGGGGAGGACAGGGGAACCAAGGTTTAGAGGAGCCAGCTCTGGGGAGGGGGGAGAGGTACTAATCTCATGGTGTCAGATTCAGAAAGTGGGGGTCTCTAAGCTGTACGTAATGATCTCTGTGGAGGAACATACTGACTTAGAAAGCTATGTGTTAACATTATCTATGTTCTGTTGTATTTTTATTTTGTTAATGATTTTCCAGTCACATTTTAATCAGGTTCTGGCCTCACTTGGGACTGTTGCATTTGACCACACTGGTATACAGTAGGATGGAGCTGGCTTTGGAGACCTAGGGCCCAGGTTTGAATCCTAGGAGTTCAATGGAATTCTTTGATTTTATGAGCAGTATCACCAGTCATAGGATGTTAGAGAGAATGTCTTCCACTTCCAAGTTGTGTGACTTTGGGCAGATCCCTTTCCCTTTGTGTGTCTCAGTTTCCTCATTTATAAAATGGAGGGGCTGGGCCAGATGACCTCCAAGGTCCCTTTCAGCTTTATGTCCATAATCCTGTGGTTTCTTTCTGCTACAGAGCAGAGGAATCTTCTTTTCATCTTAGATAGGGTTGAAAGCTGCTTTTCAGTAATCTCCGTGCCCCCCCCCCCCCATACTGAGGGAGCTCCAGGCCCCTTTTCTTCGGGGCCTGGGGTAGAGACCAAGGATCCCAGTGCCTGCTTAGCTGAGACTAGAGGGTTTCTCATGCTGGACAGCGCTGAGGCCCCCTCCCTAGAGGTTTTATTGGCTGGGAGGCCTCTGCTACTGAGACAGTTCTTGACTGTTGGGGGAGGGGCATCAAGATTTCCCCTCTCCCCAGCCCCAACCTCTGTGCAAATTGCAGCCAGGTTTTCCACTCTGTGGAGCTGGGATCATGTACTCTGGCCTTGAGCCCCAAGACCCAGTTTTGGGTCTACAAAAAGAATCGGGGGTCTGGTGGTGTTTTAGCAAACCCTTCGGTTAGGAACACCCACTTTCTGATGACCCAGGCTCCACGCCTTTTTGGGAAGACTGGGCCGGGGCTGGAATGCCGGGCCCAGCATCTTGGGGATGGGGGGGGTGGGGAGCTTTCTGGTCTGGGTTCTGCTTGTTTGCTTATTGTATTTAAACACAGGTTCCTTTAAGCCATAGGTTTGCTCCTAGCCTGGGGCTGGGCTCTGGGCCTGGGGCTTGAACTCTGGGGAGAAGGGGTAACTTCACTGAAGTCCCACAGGCCCTGGTTAGACCTTAGGTGACCCCACCCCCCCAACCTTTGGGCTGTCGCTGATTCTTAGGGCCAGCCAAAGATTCCTTTCTCAATCTGGGCCTCAACTTCCGTTCTCTCTTTTCTCTGGATAATGGCAACAGTGCTGGATTTAGTCAGAGAACTCAGATTTAAACCCTGGCTTTGCTTTCTTCCCCTCCTAGGGCCTTAGTTTCCCTATTTGTAAAATGACAGAATTGAATTTAGGTGAGGCCTCTTCCAGCTCGGAATCTGAGATCTTGTGAACTGGGTTTGGCTCAAAATCTGCCACTCCCCTCCCCCACCCCCGGTCTCTCCCCAAAGCTCAGCACTCAACCCATCCAGCAAATTAATCCTGGAGCATAGAAAGGAGAGTTCTTCGAGCAGGATTTTGGTTCAGAGCTAGGGGGCCCTCGTACCCGTAGATCCGGAGAAGCTGCAGGTCTGGCCACCTGCTGTAGCCCTCCCGTCCCGTCCCTCACCTGTTTCCATTAGAAATGCATTCCTGGTGGAAGAACCCCCAGGTGAGGAGTCAGAGACCTGGCCTCTCCTTCTGGGTCTGCTCCAGATTTCGGGCGAGACCCCAAGCTCATCCCTGCCCTTCTCTAGACCTCTGTTTCAGTCCCTGTTGGACTAGCTGCTCTCTGTGTCCCCTCCCTGCTCTGACCAGCTAGGAGTCCTGATTAATATCCCTGCTTCTAGTCTCCAATCCAGCCTCCAATACTCAAAAACTCCGGGGGATCTCTGATCCCATCGATTTGGAGGTTACCTCAGACGGTGCAGATCAAACAAAACCCACTGGTCCTTCTCCTTCCGGTGGAAGGAGACTAAAGCACTAGGGGCCTTCCTCAGTTTCTCTGGGCCTTGGGAGGGTACCAGTGAAACCCTTAGGCCATCCAGCTGTCGTCTTCCACCCTGGTCAAGTCTCTTGCCCAGCAGTCAAAGCCTTTTTAAGTCTCACCATGTTATTCCCCTACTCAAAAATCATCTGTGGCTCCCTATTGTATGGCATCAAATATATATTCTTCAGCCTGGCATTTAAAGCCCTCCACAGTCTAGCCAAATACTTCCCCTTATTCCGCTTCATGCAGTTTTCCTTCATTTCAGCCAAACTGGCCTACTAGCCGCTTTGGAATCTAGTATCTCTTCTCCCATCTCCATACGGTCCTGGGAATAGTCCCTGTCTTCATCTCTGTCTTCCAGAATAGTTAGATAAAGCATTTATCAGGATGTTTATTGCTGCTAGGGCTCAGCTCAAGTGTTTCCTCCTATGGGAAGCCTTTCTTAATTCCCTCCCTCCTTCTTCCTCCTTCCCCGCAGTTAGTTCTGCCTTCTTTGAATTTGTTGTTCGGTTGTGTCTGACTCTTTGTGACCCCATTTGGGGTTTTCTTGGCAAAGATACTGGACTGGTTTGCCATTTCCTTCTCCAGCTCATTTGACAGATGAGGAAACTGAGACAAATAGGGCGAAGTGATTTGCCCAAGGTCCTACAGCTAAGAAGTGTCTGAGGTTACATTTGAACTCAGGTCTTCCGATTCTAGGTCTGGCTCCCTATGCACTATGGCGCCACCTAGCGGGTCTACCTCTGATTTACTTTATATTTCATTAAAAGCTTCCTGAGGGCAGGAGCTGATTTTGATAGGGTCAAAAAGGGAAGCCATGGAATTCAAGCCCTTCATTTTGCAGATGAGGAAACTGAGGCACAGAGCCATGAAGTGACCTGTGCAGGGTTTAAGGGCCTCATTTTTTTCTTTGCAACCTCAGTGCCTAGAATCCTTCGATTATAATGGCAATGTCACTATTGTCATAGACTGGTAGGGCTGGAAATATATCTTGGGTCATCTCTTCCAAGGTTTTTCAACCTTGCGCCATGAAATTTTTTTTTTGGTGAGGCAATCAGGGTTAAGTGACTTGCCCAGGGTCACACAGAATTTATTTTGAATCTTTTTTTTTTTTTTTTTTTTTTTTTTT